GAATAGATTGGGAGATGTGATTGTAAAGCAATTAGAATATTTCACAATATGATGTAATAATGTCATTTAATACACCTCTTTTAAGTTAAGAAGTGTTGAGGTCTCCCTGCGATCCCGGTCGGGACCATGAGAACCCTCAGAAAAGAGCCACATAATAAAGCTTCATCGTCTCAAGATTTTCTACCTCACTTTCTGTTCAATTAGACACAGAGGAAGGGTTACGGAACAGTCTCTCTCCTCTGTGATTCGGAAACCAGGTGACATCAGTGTCCGTCCTGCCTCTAAAGAGCTGAGTAGCATGAGCAGCCACGGGGGGACTTGTGAACTCACTTTCCTAAGCCCTCTGTGGGCTGCTGTCTCTCTCAAACCCAGTTCTCACACGTCCCCACGAAGCAGGCACCACGGCTGCCCTCATTTGAAATACAAGTAACCGCGCTGACCCCTGACCACCGCAGTTTATTGCCCTGCAGAGTGAAAGGTCACCAGTTCCATTTTCGATTGCTGGTCGGGGCACATGCCTGGGTTGCCAGCGAGGGCCCCTGTTGGGAGCGCGCAAGAGCCAATCGGTCAACGTTTCTCTTGCACATCGATGTTTCTCTCCCTCCCTTTCTCCCTCCCTTCCCCTCTCTCCAAAAATAAATGACACATTTAAAAATAAATAAATAAAATAGAGACTTCCAGGAAAGAGGGAGGAGTAGGCAGACGCACTGTGCCTCCTCGAAAAACCAAAAGAAGGACAACAGCAAATTTAAAAACAACCAGAACCGACAGAAAATCGAACTGTATGGAAGTCCAACAGCCAAGGAGTTAAAGAAGAAATGTTCAGACGGGTGGGAGGGGCGGAGACGGGCAGCTGGGCAGAGAGGACGGGCGGCCAGGCGGCGGATTGCGGGCCGGGCGGTCCCACATTCACAGGCAGATAAACCGGGAGGGGCAACTGGGAGCAAGTCAGACCTCACACCCCAGGGCTCCACTTCAGGGAAAGAAAACCTCAAACCGCTGACTGAAAAACCCTGTGGGGTTTGCGGTGGTGGGAGAAAGTCCCAGCTTCACAGAAAAGTTTGTTGGAGAGACGCACAGGGTCCTAGAACGTACACAAACCCACCCAGGAATCAGCACCAGAAGGGCCCAGTGTGCTTGTGGGCAGCGGGGGAAGTGGCTGAAAGCCGGCAGAGGGCTGAACAAGCAGCGCTGTTCCCCTCGGACCCCTCCCCACATACAGCGTCACGATGCAGCCATGTGCGTTGACCCACCCTGGTGAACACCTAAGGCGCTGCCCCTTACTAGTAACAGGCATGCTGAGACCAAAAAAAAAAAAAAGGCCCAAATGAAAGAACAGACCAAAGCTCCAGAAAAAATACAACTAAGTGATGAAGAGATAGCCAACCTATCAGATGCAGAGTTCACAACACTTGTGATCAGGATGCTCACAGAAATGGTTGAGTATGGTCTCAAAATAGAGGAAAAAGTGAAGGCTATGAAAAGTGAAATAAAAGAAAAAGTACAGGGAACCAGCAGTGAAGGGAAGGAAACTGGAACTGTAATCAATGGTTTGGACCAGAAGGAAGAAATAAACATTCAACAAGAACAGAATGAAGAAACAAGAATTCAAAAAAATGAGAAGATTAGGAACCTCTGGAACATCTTTAAATGTTCCAGCATCTGAATCATAGGGGTGCCAGAAGGAAAAGAGAAAAAGCAAGAAATTAAAAACTAATTTGAAAAAATAATGAAGGAGAACTTCCCTAATCTGGCAAAGAAAATAAACTTCCGAAGTCTAGGAAGCTCAGAGAGTCCCAAAGAAGTTGGACCCAAGGAAGCACACACCAAGGCACATCATAATTACATTAGCCAAGATTAAAGAGGAGAGAATCTTAAAAGCAGCAAGAGAAAAGGAGACAATTACCTACAAAGGAGTTCCCATAAGAGTGTCAGCTGATTTCTTAAAAGGAACCTTATAGGCAGGAAGGGGCTGGAAAGAAGTATTTGAAGTCATGAAAGGCAAGGACCTACATCCGAGATTGCTCTATCCAGCAAAGCTATCACTTAGAATGGAAGGGCAGATAAAGTGCTTCCCAAATAAAGTCAAGTTCAAGGAGTTCATCATTGCCAAGCCCTTATTCTATGAAATGTTAAAGGGGCTTATCTAATAAATAGAAGATCAAAAATATTAACAGTAAAATGACAACAAACTCACAACTATCAACAACCGAACCGAAAAAAACACAAAACCAAAAACAACTAAGCAAACAGCTAGAACAGGAACAGAATCACAGAAATGGAGATCACATGGAGGGTTATCAGCGGGGAGGGGGAGAGAGGGGGAAAGGTACAGGGAATAAGAAGCATAAATGGTAGGTACAAAATAGACGGGGGGAGGGTAAGAATAGTGGGAAATGGAGAAGCCAAAGAACTTACACGTATGACCCACGGACCTGAACTGAAGGGGCAGAATGCAGGTGGGAGTTGTGTGCAGGGTGGAGGGGAACAAAGGGGAGAAAATTGGACAACTGTAATGGCATAATCAATAAAACATATTTCAAAAATAATAAAAACAATAAAATAAATATATAAAATAAAAGCGAGAAACCAAGAAACAGGAGATTAGTTTAGATCCCCAAGGCCACAGACGTGAACCGTGTTTTCCCCAGTGAAACTCTGCAGTGTGGAGATAAACTCTCACTTTATCCATTCATTCAATAAGTCTTAATAGGAAGTGTGTCTGTGCCAGATGCCATTCCAGATGCTGAAGACACAGCAGTGAACAAAATAGACTGAAGCTCCGGCCTCAAGGACATCACATCCAGTGAGGGACAGTGGGGCATGAGGACAGCAAATCAGTCACTAACCAGGAGGACAGCAGGTGAGATGGAGGTGCCTGCTGCACAGAAAGGAGAGCGGGAAGGGCGGTCGGGTGCTGCAGGGTGGTGGGGCCGACATGTCACTGGGGAAGACATCGCTGAGAAGGTGGCGTTTGAGGGGAACTCTGAGGGGCTCGGGGAGTAAGCCCCACGGCAAAGAGAGGAGTCTGAGCTCGGGGACCAGCAGCCGGTGTGGCTGAAACACAGCGGGTGGCAGAGCGGAAGGGCAGGAAGCGGGGGGGGGGGGGGGGGGGCGCGAGTGGGAGACCACCGTAACTCATGTGGCTTTGCTCAGCATGAAGTCTGCAGCCTGTGGAAGAGTTTTGCAAATTGAAGAATGAGCTTCTTCCATGTGTCTTATACCGATGGCATTCTCCAGTGACCCCAGTTGTAAAAAAAAATGTCTCACTGTCACCCTGTCTCCTGATGGGATGCAATGGAAAAAAAAAAGCACCACTTCTGTGATATTCATTGCAACAATCATATCTCCTGAATCATACGAGGAGACAAGCCCAGACCGAGGACTCATTGTATTAAAACAACAACGTGTATTCCAAAACCATCCCTGTCGTGAAGAAAGGTTGTGGAATAATTTCATACATTGAAAATAACTAAGGACAGCCCTGGCTGGGTGGCTCAGTGGATGGAGTGCCAGCCTGTGAACTAAAGGGTCGCCAGTTTGATTCCCAGTCAGGCAGGGCACAGGCCTGGGTTGTGGGTGGGGTCCCCAGTTGGGGGCGCACTGGAGACAACCACACATTGAGGTTTTGCTCCCTCTCTCTCTCCTTTCCTTCCCCTCTGTCTAAAACAAATAAATAAAAATGACAATTAAAAACAATGATTAAAGACATAATGAGTGAATCTAATACATGATTCTGATCGGGTTCTGAATCAGGAAAAAATGCCATAAAGCACATCATTGGGATGATATTTAAGTGTGGGCTCCAGATTTGGTAGCATCGATACTAAGCCAGCACACTTGACCGCTGTGATGATGCACTGTGACATGGTGACGTTCCTGCTCTCGGACGATATGCACCAAGACGATCAGGAGAGTAAAGGGGCATCACTCTGAAGTGTTTTAACAAAAAGCATTACTATTTTCTGTTGATATGCACACAGATACACAGGGAGAGAAAGAGAGCAAATGTGGTTAAATGTGAACTGGTGAATCTAGGTGAAGGAAATAGGAGAATTTTGTGTACTGTTGTTACAATGACTCTGGAACTCACAAATTGTTTCAAACTTTAAGTTTTAAACATTAAAACCCACAAAGAGCGGTTTCCATCAGCTCACGCCAGGCCAGCCCCACGGGGGACACAGCACACAGGTCCCTCTGCCCAAGCCAGACCCCTGTACCCAGACCCCTGGCCCGGTGTCCCCCGTGCAGGTCTGCAGACACAGCCGAGCTGGCGGGACGTGGGTGAGGACGGGGCTCGTCCCTTGTCACACAGACTCATCATCTTCATCTCAGCCTCGACCTTCTGTCACTCATCCCCCGGGCAAGGCTGCCAATCCCGCCCACCAGACCACGGCCTCCTAACAGACCCCGGTACCGGTACCGTGGTTTCCACCCTCTACACCCAGTGAGCCCCTGTCTCTCGCCCCCAACCCAGGTCACCATCCCCCCAGCAGTTCTTTGGCCCCTGAGTCCTTGGTGCCGCAGGAGGTGCCACGGAGGGGAGGCCCCAGGCCAGACGCTGCCTCTGGGGCTGTTGTCCACACCTTCCTCCTGGGCGGGCGGCTTCCCTGCCTCTGAGCACAATAACCTGCTGTTTCTGAGCCCCAGAGCCACCCAGCTCCCCTGGGGAAACCCAAGCCTGAGGCCCGCTTTTGATTCTCCTCCCCCGGTGATGAGCGGCTGTTTCCTTGGTCCTCCCTACAGCCAGCAGGAAGGACACTTTCTCTCACCAAACACAAAAACAAAGCGAAGCCCCAGGCCATCGGACCTCGGGCGGCTGGCCAGTCTCCTCCGGGCCCTCTGACAGCCTTGCTGGGCCGACCCGGGGTCCGCAGCGGTCAGGGGCTGCTCAGCCTCCTTCCAGGTGACAGCAGCAGCCACCCCACCCAGAGGCGCAGGACCCGACCCGCTTCCCTGAGGCCGGTGCAGCCCCTCCCTGTGCAGACAGGGCCCCTCACCTTGGCTCTGACGTCCGGTGAGGACCAGGAGGGCGAGGGTGAGAGCCGGCCCCAGCATCCCCAGCAGGGCCAAAGGGCGGCGGGCTCTGGCTGTCCGCAGACGCGCCGTGTGCACAGGCGCAGCGGCCGCGGAGCAGCAGCTCGGCCCCACTGCCGGTCCGGCCACAGTTTCCTCAAGCAGAGCCGCTCTCATTGACTGAGGGCTGAGAAGCTGCCGAGAAACCACAGGCCCTGGACCCGACAGTTTCCACCAACTGAACTCGCTCAGTTTGCCTCAAGTGGGCGGGGCTCCCAGTGACTCACAAACCACCTTCGAAATCCTGCGCCTCGTTCTCCCCGGCCCGGCCGCGCCTGGGAAGGCAGGCGCCGAGGAATTCTCCAACCCGTACTCCCGGGTGATGGGGGGAAGCCTGCGTGGGGACCAAGCAGCCACTGGCTGCGCCTGTTCCCCCCTCTGAGCACTGCGAGGGTGCAGGGTGTGCCTGAGAGGTGCAACCCGAGAGAGGTGGGGGATTGTGGAGGAAGAGGAGTTGGGGTGCTAGAAAAGTCTGCCAGGCCCGGGGCCTTCTCAACGCGGCGCCAGGGCTTCCGCAACTACGAACCGAAACACTTACCTAAGACTTTGCTTCTGCTCCAGTTTCACCTCCGCACTTCTACATTCCCTCCCTTCCTCTTTTTTCACTTTCCCTTCCAAAATCTCTTCCTTCCCTCCCTTCTCTCACCCTTGTTTCCTCTTCTCATGGAGGGGCAGGGTGGGGACCATTTCCTCTCTCCTGCTTTGCCTGTGGCAGCAAATACTTCCACTTCCCTCGCCAGCCCGTCTCACCTTCCCCCCCTCCATCCACTCCCAGGGCCCACCCGTGTGAAGCTGGGCCAGGGAGTGGCTGACGGCCTGGGGGTGGGTGGGGGAGGGGGCCCTGCAGGTGGCTGTGCTACTCCTGCATTTGGAGTCAGGACACTGGGCTTCTTTACGCACATGGCTCCAGGGCCTGGGCGGCTTCATACTCCCAGGGACACGCCCTTGGCGGCCACTGGACCTTTGTGCCTCCTTCCTCCTCTGAGACCAGGGATAATACCGGCCCCTTCCTCTTGGGGTGAGGACTCACTGCGTCCCATTCAAAGCACAGAGCATGATCCACAGTACCAAGGAGAGCCCAAGGTCATCGTCACTGCGTAAATACTATGCAACCTGCCCTCCAACCCGGTGGGCACTTCCTGCAGAACTTTTCCAGTCATGTAAGCTCAGAGCTCCTACACCTGTGGCTCCTCCGTCCAGGAAAACAAGCCTGGCTTCTCATCAGAATCTGTTGCCTCCAGCTCTACAGAGTGCTCATCTTCTGACACCTTCTTCGAAACAAGTCCCCGTGATGGCTTTCCCCGCCAACCGTGCTGCAAGTGTGGAAAACCGTAGGCCACCCCCGTCCTTCTCATGGTTTCTGCAAGTGCCGGCTCTGATGCATAGGGGGTAGACGAACAGCCTGTTGGTGTAAGAAACTAGCTGCAGAAGGGACAGACCCGACCTTCTGGCTCCGGGAGACTTGCTGACCTTCAACTGTGCAGCCAGGGTGGACTAAGCCAGGGGGACGCACACTGGGCTGGCACCGGCCTCTGCAGAAAGGACTGTCCCCGTCAGTGTGGAGAACTTTGCAAACCCCGCCCTGGATCCCTTTGTTCTGTCCCCTCTCCTTCCTTGTAAAACCTCTGCCTGAGCCGCGGGAGACAGGCTCTGAGACGTGAATCCCCCGAGTTCTGGTGGCCGCACCTGAAAGAACCCTCTCCCATCAGCACCTGCCTCTCGAGTTTGGCTTTCGTAGCAGCGGGCAGCCGGCCCTGCGTTCATGGCCATGCCGGCCCTTCTCAGCCTGAACATCTTCACAGATGCCACCTTGGTGTTTCATGGGCTACTCCCTTCCAAAAACAGACACTGACGGGTGACAGGTATGCCACTTGGGCATACCAATTTGTGGAGCCCGAGGCAACTTTTTCTTCCCCTGCCACACACGCAGTCTCTCCAGGTGCCATGTGTGCAAACTGACGGACAGGAAAACCTCTTCCTGTGCACTTCCAGGTGCTGCAGCTGATCTAATCCTTGAACTGACATAAGACAGATAAACATAACCGCGCAGAAACTCCATTTCTCTAACCGGAGCCTTTCTCCTTCCTGTCCATCAGCCCCCCCTTCCTTCACCATTAAGTCCCTGGGACGCCAGATTCTGCTCAGCATCAAACTGTCTTAAGAACAAAGCCTCAGGTCCAATGACCACAGAGACAGAGTTTCAGGTAAGGCTGAAGGTGACACCTTGATCTCGGCTGTGTCTTGGCCCAGGCCCATGAATGTAGACCCCTCCAGAGAGGGACCACATCCTCTTGAAACCAGACAGAACCACGCCGTGGCAGACAGCAGGACCAGACAGTCCCCACCCATCCCCACGCCACCCCCACCAAGCACTGCAGTCCACGGCCCCAACTCCTTTGGCCACCATGACTACCGACCTTCCCCCCACCTGACTCGTTCCCTAAAAGCCATCGGGGAGCCAGGTCTTTGAGTGCAAATGCACCTGTGACTCGGTGCCATTTCCTCGACTAATAAATAAAACCAGTCTCCTGCCTGCAAACTGCTGCTCCTGTTCCACTGGGCTCTGAGGCAGGCCGCCAAGGAGCCCTTGTGGTCTAGTAACACAAATAGAAAACAATTTAAATTTCACACATACAGAAGCTTGTAGAAATATGAGACTCCCCAAAGCAGGCGGTTTTCATACCTTTTAGACAAATAAACAGTAAACTTGTTAAGAATTGACAAGACCAACCATTTTGGGCTTGGGGCAACAAATGAGCAGAGAAGTAACAAGGCTTGTTTCTATCCCGACCTCCCATCTCTGGTGAGAAACATGTCTGCTTCCCCTTGCGAGGAGGCGCCTTTCACAAGGCGGCTTTGTTTCCTGCTCTAAGGGGGACAAAGGACAGAGTGTCCTTCTTGCGCTGGCTCTTCCTTAAGTAACTTTAATTTGAAAGAATCCATATGCCAGAGTGGCTCATTTTTGTCACGAGTGACGTGTCCCTGGGGAAGGTTTCGACAGGGTCCTCCGCGGCCACCGTAAGCTGTGAGCCTGGCCGAGGCAGGAGGAGCTGCAGCCCCGGGGCCCGGCCACTTTCACCTTCGTCATTCCCTTCTGGGCCCTCGGCACTGGCTCCGCCACCTGCGTGGCAGCAACGGTTACAACTCCAGGGCCTGGGGGCCTCTGTCCCCACTCCCTCTGCCGTCAGCTTGCACACAAGCGACAGAGGGTGACAATGCTGGTGAAGGCAGATGTGCCTGCTCCTCACTGACCCTGACGTACACAGGTCTGGACTGGACCCTCACTCACCCACCGTTCACTGAAGACAGACAGACACTGGGCAAGTACAAGGAACACAAGCTTCCCACCCTCCAGGGCACTGGTGACATCAGCTAAGAAGCAATAAACAGGGTGCTGAAAGCTACTTTGTTATTCCTTCCCGGAATTTAAGAGTCCACTGAGCCAGAGGCAGAGACTGGACTTCCCTGTTGCTCTGAAGGGTCCCCCTGGGGGTGGGTCTGCACAACTTACACCCTCTCCACCCACGTCCGGCTTTTCCATCGGCTCCTTCCTCCCTTCTGGCCCCGGTGACCCAGCCCTCACCCCCGTCACCCTCGCCCAGCTGCCCCCACCCACGCGGTCCTGAGTTCCCTTCTCCCCAGGGATGGTGTAAGGCCTGGATCAAAGGAACTAAAGTCAGGTTCAAAAACAAACGAGGTTTCCCGCTTTCCTTCTCCTGACTGAGTTCACTGGGGCGGCTCTGGTTGAGGGAACTGGCAGCCCCAGCCCAGCAGGCTGAGCTGCACCCCCCGCACGCTCTGCAGTGCACCTGCCACTCCAGGCGCTTTCTAACTTCAACCGGGAACGACGTGCCGATTTCCGGGCCACGGTCTGGTTTTGTGCAGCCTGGGATCTCGGAGTGGGCCTTCCATTTTTAAACCATTAGGGGGGGAATCAAGTTAATTATTTGAAGACATGTGGAGATGACGCCATTCACACATCAGTGTCCACACATGAAGTCTGACAGAAACACAGCCACACTTGCTCTTGAATAGCTGAGGCTGGACACAGGGTCGCCAGCGTCTAAAACCATGGCGGGGTCTTTGACTCGCCCAGTAGACCCAGGGGCAGAGCTCACCCTCCTTAGTTGAAAACACATTTACGAACAAGAAGTTGTTGAAGTGAAGCGAGGGCACAGGTGTCTGAGGAGTATCAGGGACATCTGGCCCCTCTGTGAACCTGGTGGCAGGTGTGTGGGGATGGTGACCAGTGGGCCACAGAGCAGCACGGACGGCTGGTGACACCAGAAACACGGCCACTTGATGCCTTCGAACAAGTGAGCAAGGGCGTCGCTCCCCAGTGGGTTTTTACTGAGATGCGAACATTGGGTCGTGTACGTTTTCTCGTGGCACTTTTTGGTTAACTAAACTTTTGCAACACTCTAGAAATTTTCCAGCCACTTACTGCAAGCTTACAGGCTCCTGGACGAAGACACCCGGTCTGAGAGGAAGCTCAGACAGGGCTCACGATGTGAGCAGCTTCTTGCAGAGCACTTCGCAGACCTCTCCCACTGGCTTCTGAGTTTGCTTCACAGGTTGTGCCAGCGATTTTTATGTGACAAACAGGCTGGGAGGATTTCGCCAATGACACAGAAAAGGCTAGAGTGAAACAAGAGCTGCCCCAGAACAGCCTTCTTCCCACGACACGACCCCCCTCCCAGCTCTGAACTGCCAAGTCTCCTGTGGACGCCCGTCCCCGGTCCCAGTGGTCTCCCTGGGGGCCGTCGCTGCACTGGCCTCCCGACGCCGGGACTGCACCTCTGTCTCGCCCAGGTCTCCATTTCTGAGAGTTGACACTGATTCTTGTAAAAGTCCCTGCCGGACAGTTCTCAGGCCCGTCCCCACCCAGACCACTTCCTCTGTGTGCGCCCCAGCTGCACGGCGTCACCTCAGAGGCACCGAGGACGGGGCTCGCAGGCCACAGTGCGCCCCGGAGGCGGGCTGACCGTCCCCGCCCACGGCCTTCAAGTCCCGTTTTCCAAGCCAGTGGTTTCTGTTCCTTCGCTGCCTTCACCTTATTTGTCACCCAAGTCACCAGCACAAGCAGTGGTTTAACTTCCACTCCAGAAGGTGGCACTCACAGGCCCCCCCCTTCATCCAGGACTCATTTCTGTCCTGTGCACCGTGTTGGGATGTGAACGAGACTCACAGTTCAGGTGAACCCCCGGCCACGTCATTTCTCCCAGTGTCCTCCTGACACCCAGACTCCCCACCTGTGTGGGGAAGTCAACCTGTGTCTCTCTACCCCCGTCTTTCGCTTTCAGGGGCCTGAGCAGGGCAGCTCCACCCCCCACCCCGGCCGTCGCCAATCCCAGACCCGCCGCCTGCCCAGCTCTGCTGCAGGAACTCAGAAACCGTCCTGGCCACCCCTGGGCTGCTCTCCCACCTGTGACACAGGGACGACAGCGAGACCACCCCATGTGGCTACCCACATAAGTCACCCACAGTGTCACTTCGTGTTAGTCTCACACCTAGGACCAAAGAGCAGACACTAACTTGGAGGAGCTAGACAGTTCGACATCTCTCTTTTTGAAAAGATTTTATTTCTAGAGAGGGGGAAGGAGAAAGGGACAGAAACATCACTCTGTAGTTACCTCTTGTGCACCCCCCCACTGGGGACCTGGCCCACAACCCAGGCCTGTGTCCTGACTGTGAATCCAACGGGTCAACCTTTGGTTCAGGGGCCAGTGCACAGCCCCCTGAGCTCCACCAGCCAGGGCAAGACATCTTTAAATGGAACTTGTGCTTTTAAAAAAGTCCCTTCAAGCCCTCACCACACTGCACAGAACATACTGTTCCCTCACTGAGAAATGGACCAACCCTCCCCTGTACCCTCCTGGCCTTGACCTGCAGGCCTTTCCAACAGGCCAATAAATTACACCCTCAGCACTCAAGTGTGTCATCCCTTGTGTCCATGGGTCCACGATGCAAGTCACTGAGCTGCAGGAAATGGCCCCTGCCTGTCCCCCCGCCCCCGCCGTCACCGGGGGGCACGCCCATTTCAGTCATCCCCGGAAGCACAGGCCAAGGGGTCAGTGAGGTGCAGTCACCAAGCTGTGAGGAAGCCCACCTATACTTTGTGACTCAGTGAGACTAACAGGAGGACTCTGAGAGTCCCCATCCTTTAAATGTAGAACTTCAGGACTTAAACAAACTCAATGTGAAAAACATTTATTACAAATATTCAGTTTTGACGCTCTACAGTGAAGGCAGACACAGTCCCCCAGTCGAGGGGCGGCGCTCAGCTGCCAAGGGAAGTTCCACAGCTGCTGCAGGTAACCCGCCAAGTGACTGAGTGACCACAAGTGACCGAGTGGCCAAGTCACAGGCAGTGAATCACCTCCAGTCCCCGTGGCCTTTCCCCCCCACCCTTCTCCCAGCAGGACAACAGTTCTGAATCACACTTTACTCATCCCATTCTCCCAGAACCGTCTCGTAATCTCTACTTTTATTGTCTAGATTTCATTTCCATGTGGACATTGTTTTGATTGGTGTGTGACCCTTCCCTGAGGGTCTGACTTGTTTATGTTGTTCCTGTCGGGTCCTGGACTGAAAGCTCAGCTCTGCCAGGGGTTCCCAGGTCAGGCTGCCAAGCGGTGCTCAGCCCCCTCCCCAGAGGTGAAGGCGCAAAGTGGACACTGGAAAAGCCTGTATCTGCCGGCTGACCGATGGACCAGGGACCCGCTGGTGGGGAGACAGTAACTTCGGGGTGAGGAAGGGTCGGAGTGCGAGGAGGCGTGCAAGGCTGGGCGGACCTGTGCACGCACGCACACGGCTGACGGAACCTGTCCCGAGGGACGTTCTCTTTGAACGGCAGCCCCACTACACAGAGGAGGAGCGGCCACTGTGAGCTTCTGCCGAAGACGCTGTTCTCCAAACGGCGTGAGACACCCTCCTGCCGCGTGGGCTCTGGGGCACTTTCCCTGAAGCCTCAGGAAGGGTCCACACCGGGCTGGTGGGGTGGAGGGTGGGTGTGATCCGTGCGGAGCCCGTGCACAGGCGCCACCAGAGGGCTCTGGGAGAAGAAAGCTCCACCTTGAACCAGGAAGCGGTGGGACAGGGAGTGGGGCCTGCCCAGGTCTCTGGGAGGCAGGGCTCGGGCACTTCCCTGTTTGTGCAAAGCAGGAAACCGAGAACCTCCCTCCCCCAGGCACAACCAGAACCTTGGACCAACCACGTCGTTATTTCCAGCTACACAAACACACACACGCAAACACAATCGCACCTGAGAGCCTGGAAGCGCCCAGCACACACTCGCCGTCAGCCCAGGCCTCAGACCACACGCAGCTCCAGCTCGGAAACCCGTGCTTCTCATCCCCCGAAACTGCCCACAACCGAAGGTCCCGTTTCTCCTACAGAGAAGGTGGTGTCACTCTGCCCGCGTGCAGGACTCGGCAGGAGGCCCCCGGGGGCACTTCCCGAGGGAAAGAGGAGGCAGAACGGAGGCGGAACCGCCGTGTACGCTGGTCCTCGGTGCTGCGGGAAGGAGCCGAGGCTCCAGGCTCAGGTCCCTTTCGAGGGCGGCTCCGGGCCCAGCGGGGAGTGCGCCTCCGCTCCTGAGGGAAAGGCACTCAGTGGGCACAGCCAAGACTCCCGCTTGGCTCCCTGTTGGGACAGAGAGCTCGCCCCCTCGCAGCACCGGGCAAGGAAGAAGACACAGAGGGTTGGGGGAGGGAGCTCCTGGCCGACGTTATTAAAAACACGTCCCAACAAAGGAAAAAGGGGCCCCTGCGGGCCAGAAGACAAACACAACATCCTGTGAAACCACAGCATCTGGGGCCAGAGTCCGGTAGCACCTGAGTGAGGCGGCTCGGAGGAGGGCCGGGGTCACACCAGGAAGGAGGAGGTCTGTCTGAATTCCCCCTGGGGAAGCAAACACAGGCTGAGAATCTCCCAAACGCTCCCCCACAGGCTGCAAGTCCCGCCCTCCCGGCCCCACCCAGGGCACTCACTTCGCTTCGGGTGGAGGGCTGGCTGTAAATGACCTTCTTACTCTCGGTCCTGTGGACAGACCAGAAGGTGATGCCGGCACGCAGACCCCCAGCCCCTTTCTTTCCCTCGGCTCTGCTGGCCAGGTTTGGAGGTCAGAACTGAGAACTCCCCAGAACCACGAGGTCTTGGTGGGGGGAGCGGGCACGTGGAGGGAGAAGGGGCAGCGTGTAGCCAGAGAGCAGGTAGAACTCAAATGTGTTCCTAGCAGCCCACGGCCTCCACCTCCCACCCCTCCCTGGGGCCCACCGCGGCTTCAAACCACACGCATCCACATTCTCAAGCTCGGCGACCCCAGCACAGCGCCTACTCACCCTTTCTTCATCCCTGAAAAAGAAGAAGGGGGACCCAGAGTGTCAGCAGAGCGGCACGGTGCAGAAGGGAGGACCCGGGACGCAGCCCCAGGGACAGGTGGTAGGGTCCCGTGGAGAAGAACCCTGGGCTCGCACGCTCCATGTCAGGAGGGCACTCACACGGCAGCCGCGAACTGCACCCCGAACCCGGGGCGGGACCAAGGAGGTCCTCTGAGGGCAAGTCCTTACTGTCAAAGTAGCCTCGGCGGTAGGCGAACCAGATGCCGAACACCAGGAACCCAAGGAGAACGAGTGTGACCAGGACGGCTGCCACAATGCCCCCCACATTCAGCTCCACTGTAAGACACAGACCAGAGGACGCTCACCCACAGCACCGGCGACACCCTCCACGCCAGCACAAAAGGTGGCCCCGCCGTGCCCACGGTGCCCACCACGCTCACCTGCCTCCATGCGCACCGCGTCGGACATCATGGGCGTCCCGTACCCGTTCTGGGCCTCGCAGGAGTACTCTCCTGTATCAGAGGCTGAGACGGGATCGAAGACCTGGGGGGCGGAAAACACACCGGCGTCCCCTCGAGGAAGCCAAGGACCTCCCTTTGAGGTTTTGTGGCCCTAACGCCCAGTTCACCTTGCTGTGTGTTCTCCCCCCCCAGGGCCTCTGCACCCAGGCCTCCACCCTCCCCGCCCCACCCCCCGTACCAGCTCCCCCGTCTTGGGGTTCAGGCTGTAGGAAGAGTTGCTGAAAGCACGGCTGCTCTTGGGCTCCAGAGGCATCGAGACCCCGTCCCGGTACCAGGTGTACTGAGAGGGCGGGGAGCCGTCCGTCTCCGAGCAGGTCAGCACCGCCCGGCTCCCGATGGTGGCAGAGGAGGGGATGTTCACCGTGGGCTTGGACGGGGGCACTGGAGGGAACAGCAGATGCTGGTCACAGGGCAGCAAGGGCTGCTGGGAGTGACAGCCCGGCCACCAGCCCCAGCTGCGCCCTCGCCAGGCGCTCGCCTTCTCGGGCAGCACCACGGAGCCCGCCCGGGAGACGCGTACCGAGCACGGTGAGCTGGACGCTGACCTCCCCGTAGGCGGTGCCGCCTTCATCCGAGACCATGCAGGTGTACGTCCCCGTGTCCTTCCGGGTCACGGAGTGGAAGGTGATGCCAGTGTTTGAGAAGGTGACCCGGTCCTCATAGGAGGCTGTGGGGAGAGAGACCAGGGCAGAGGGAGCCGGAGGGTGGGAGGGACTGGGGGTGGGGGCCGCCAGCACCCAGGAGGGGCGGAGGGAAGGCCTTGGGGACTGGGCGCCCCCTCCCTGGGACCCGGGTGCAATCAGGAAGGAGGCACAGGGCTCACCTGTGATCTTGCTGTTGTAGCAGACGAGGCTGGTGATGTCGCCCTGGGAGAACTTCCACTCCACCCGGGGGTGGGAGAAGCCGGAGTAGGAGCAGGACAGCTTGGCAGCTGCAGACAGGCTCGTGGTGAGCGGGAGGAAGGGGCAGCAGCAAGTGGACAAGACGGGAGGGTCCCCGGGTCCCCAGGGACCTTGGGCTGCTCGCCCCCTCCCCCTCCACAGCCCCAGCCAACTCACGTTTATTCTCAGGAACTTGGACTTCAGATTCCGAAGTGTACACTGCTCCCCTGCCCCGCGCCAGCGAGCCTGAGCGGAAGGAGAGGGTGTCCCATCAGAGGTGGGCAGCGGTGGAGGTACTGTGGGGGGGCCTCTCCGGGCTGAGGCCCCAAGACACAGGGGGGGCTCAGGGGAGCCCGGCTCTTCCCAGTGTCCCCCCTCACTAATATCCTGAGCAACCTCCTTCCAAAGCTTTTTGCTACAACTGCAGGCCAATACTTCTTTTACCAGTGGAAAGAGAACATTTCTTTCAAGTGCAGTTTCTCCCATTTTTTCTCCCCCTACCTCCTGTGACCCCCCACAACCTACTCAGACTCCCACCCGTCCGAGAGCAGCTTCCGGAACGGTCACAGTCGGGTCCTGAGCCATCTCGGACTCAACGGCCACCCTGGCAGGAAGCCCCCCAGGAGGGAAGGAGGAGGGCAGCCCCCAGCATTTGTAGGGAATTTGGGGCATTTGGGCCTGCTTCCACAAACACGGTATCGTTTGCTCCTTGAAACAAGCCCGACAGACCCTCAGGACAAGTATTCTTGTTCCAGTTTGACTTGAGGCAGTGAGGGGACTGGCCCAGGGTCACGTGTCCCTCCTGCTGGAAGGAGGGAGAGGGCGGTGTGTGTGTGTGTGGGGGGGGGTGAGGAGAGATGAGGCTCTGCAACAACACGGTGGGAAGAGGCCCAGGAGGGGCCGAACCTTCCCCGGTGAGGACCGGGCCCAACTCCGGGACCAGTGACAGCGTTTACACAATCGCGCTCATTCGGGCTGCCACGCACGCAGGAAGCCTCACTTCCCGCCTCCCAGGCGGGTCCTGCTTTCTCAGATGAATGCAAACACCCGTCCACCCCTCCCGCACCCCACAGGGCACCAGGGCACCCGGGCCCCGGACCCCGGAGGCCCCTCCACTCACCTCCACTGGGGATGGAAGGAGATGTCAACACACATTTTAAAAAATCTGACAGACACCGTGAGCTAACCTGGACAGGCCTTCTCTTCCCAGTGTTACAGAGGAGAGCACGGCCCACCCCCCAGGGTGAGGGACACAGCCGCCTTCCCGGCAAGGAGACACCCGCTGGGACAAGCACCCAGTCCACCCCACATGCCCTTTCCCCTTCTGCTCAGAAACCACGCTGATTCTCAGAAAAGCGCCTGGTCTGAGGGAGACACGTGATGGGATGAAATGCCGTCCTTCTAAAAGCCAGGCCCACCTTGCCCAGGTGGCTCAGCTGGTTGGAGCGTCATCCCATAGACCGAAAGGTTGCAGGTTCGATCCCCAGTCTTGGGAGTCTATGAGAGGCAACTAATCAATGTTTCCCCTCTCCCCCCCCTCGCTCCCTCTCTAAGGGCAATGAAACAGTGTCCTTGGGTTACAAACAAGAAAGTCGGGCCCACTTTACCTATAATTTCTTTCTAATATTGTTACCCTGTATCTGTGTATTGGGCATTACACTTCAATGTCCAATCTACAATTAAATGTAATAATGAACAGAGAAATTAAGTAACATTCCAAACTGAACACTGAGGACGCGCGAGTCTCTCAGTTCGCACCAAGAGTGCTGATAATGAAACGCTCTGACTTCTGTCCAAGTCAGCTTTCTCTGCTTTGGTGATCGGAACTTTGTGTTTTTAAGATTCTCAGATTTTACAATTTCCTGCCCATGACGGGCACCGATGGGTGAACCAGGCACCTTCAGGGAGGAAGGACTCCTCCCGGCCACTGGGGCCGCTGCCTGAACAAGGCCCTTGGCCCCCCGCCCCCCTCCCCCCTCCCGGCAGCCAGAATGCCTCCCGCCAGGGGCGGCCGGCGCCCGGCCTGGTCACTGAGGGGCAGACACACACGGCTCCCACGCCCCCACACAACGGCCCCTCTGGGGCTGGCTGAGGCCTCCTGGGACTTCTGCTGCCCGATCCTGCCCCCTTGCCCTCCTCCCCGAAGGCCCGGATCCCAAGAGCAGCCCCTGATAAATGTCTGGGGATGGTAACTCACACCTCAGAGCAACCCAGGCTACAGCACCGCCCACATGAAGAACAGCTTCTCATTAGACTAAAAACTAGCCTTTGAAATAAAGGATCACAGCAAAAAAAATTTTTTAATAAAAAGCCCTGAATATGACCTTGGCGGTCAGTTCTGCACTGCAGCTAAAGCTCCTTTCCAAGTCCCCTCAGATGGTCGGATGGAGAACACGCTCAGGAGTTACACGCGTGCCCCAGATGTCTTCCTTCTCCTCCCTCGTCCAGACTCCGAGGCCGACTCCAGGCCTCTCTTCCCAGGGTGACAGGCAAGCCACCCGCCTCCCTCCGGGCGGGGCTGCTGGCCCCCAGCCTGGCTGCCTCCACTCAGAACTCTCTGTGGTCTGGGGTCCTGCCAGGCCCCCAGCACAGCCCCCCCCCCACGCCCTTCCTATCGCCACAGGACCCAGCCACCCCGGCCCACCCCCTCCCTGTTCCTGTACGGGCCTCTGGAACCAGGCTGCGTGACCCAGACGACCCACCATCGTCACATTCAACCTCGTTGGCCCATGTGTAAAATGGGGGTGAAAACGGTTTCTGTATCGCAACACTGTTGCTGAGAGTTTTACAAGCTGTGATACAAAGTTACTTCGAAAAGCGTCTGACCCACAGGAAACACCATTATCGTCACCTGCCCGTAAGCCCTGCTGCACACACTTCACTTTCTGACTTCAATATTCTCTTCAGTCACACAAAAATAAATGAATAAATATAAAGTCTGCCTGTAAAATGCGTACCCTCCAGCCCACCAAACCATCTCTCCTCCACCACTGGAGCCGCCTTGCAGACTTCTCTAGACGCTTCTCACCTACCGGCTAGTGGGCAGGAGGCCCTCCCTAGCCACATCCTGCCTCGTCAGCCCACCCACGGTTTCCCTGCCCACCTCCTGGCCTCCTCACAGCACCTTGTTGCCCTTGACCTTGAACTTATACGTGGCATACTGTGCACAGATACCAATGTCCTACTAATGCACGTGGTACACAAAAACCGAAGGGAATTTCAGCCTTTCCACTGTGATGCTTCATTTACTCTAGGTTCACAAGAAAAGCCACAAAGTCAAAGAAATCAAAAGACTTTTGGTCCTTTCATGTACAGAACACCTAATCTTGTACAGATTCACTTAATCTGTACCCCCTCTAGCTGGAAGTTCCCTTTCTCTCCAAAATTCTTTTTTAAAACGAAAGGTTTTATGTATTGATTTTAGAGAGAGGGAAGGGAGAAAGAAACATCAGTGTGTGGTTGCCTCTCACGCGCCCCCTGCTGGGGACCGGCCGCAACTCAGACCGGTGCCCTGACTGGGAATTGAACTGATGACCCTTTGGTGCACAGGCTGGTGCTCAATCCACTGAGCCGCACCAGCCAGAGGTCTCCCCAAACTTCTTAAGGAAAGTGTCTACACACACCGTTTCCACCCAGTTGACTGCAGTGCAGCTTTGGTTCATGAACATGCGGCACATGTTTTCCCGGTCACACCTGTGGCCTTTGCTCACACGTGGGCCCTGCCCATCACCCCCACCCTCACCCCCACCCCCAGGAGTCACTCCACTCCCTTGGTTTCTGTGTGCAGGCCTCAGACTTCTGTCTCATTCTCTGTCTTGAACTTTGCTTCCTCTGCCCATCCCTTAATATATGAGCGACCCCTGGCATTCCGCCCTAGGCCTTTCCTCCTCCATATCTCTCTCACGCAGTCCCAAAGTGACCTGTGCCCACACCCAGCTGGCCCCAGCCACCGCCTCTCACCTGAGCTGCAGGCTCCATCCCGGGGCCTCCCGCCATCTCCGAGACCTTCGGGCCACTCCTTCCCGTCAACACCCTCGACCTCTCTCCTCCTGCCCCTCTCCAGGCTGGTGGCACGTTTCCTAGACCACCTTCAGGGTACCGCCATCTGTCCCTTCACTCAAGCGAATCAGACACTGAGTTTTACACTCAGTGACGCCTCCCAGGTGTCCCTCAAGCTGGTCCCTCCTCTCCACCCCCACTGCCCCCTCTTGTGCCATCGTCCCCTGCACAATTGCCACTGTTCTCTAACTGGCCTCTCTGCCTTGTTTAATCTCGCCCCACTCAAGTCCACCCTCCACGCCACTGCCGAGGAAAAGCCAACATTTGCTGAGACCTCACTCCGTGCCAGGCACTGCTGCAAGCACACTGTGCAGACCGAGGTCTCCGCCCTGCGACGCCCTGCCATTGGGTGACACTGTTATCACCCCCCTTATTCTGCACAGGGACCCTGAGGCCCAGAGCTGTTGGGTGTTGGTACAGATTCAAACAAAGGCCACTCCAGAGGCTGGGCGGCGCTGCACCTCCCAGAGTGCAACCCAACACTGGCTTCAAGCTTCCCATGGTGCCACAAGATACCTCGCAAATTCTGCCCTGGCTGGTGCAGCTCAGTGGATTGAATGCCAGCCTGTGAACCAAAGGGTCACTGGTTCGATTCCCAGCCTGGGCGCATGTTGTGGGACAGGTCCCCAGTGGTGGGCAAGAAAGAGGCAACCACACATTGATATTTCTCTCCCTTTCTTTCTCTCTAAAAATAAATAACCAGAATCTTTCAAAAAAAAGATAACATGCAAATTCTTCAGGAAGGCAAGGGTTCCTGCACTACCTGCCCTTGTGATAAGCTTATCATCTTCATCACCCTCTCTGCTCTCACAACTGACCCTCCGGTAACACAAAACTGCTCGCAGTTCCCAGAGCAGCCGGGCTGTTTCGTAACTGGCTGCTCCCGCTGCAAGGAACGCCCTTTCCCCTGGGTCCTGCACACCCACCTTGTTTCGCAGGAAAGGACCTGTGCTCGCCAGGACCTGGGCTGCCACTGCCCGGTGCAGACCCCGTCGGAGCCCGTCCCGCGTCACGACATCACCTTCACACGGACGTGTCTCCCCACCAGACATTTAACCCCAGGGGGCAGGGACCGCACATTCACTGCTGTTCCGAGTACACGCCGCAGGAAGCGCGTCTGCTGCAGGTCTGCCCTGAGCCACACGGAACCCTAACGGATGAGCCACAGCAGACTGTTCACTCACCAT